CTAAAGGCAATTTTCTATTCAGGTCGTGGCAAAGTCAATAGATTTGTCAACTTGAACCAAACTTATTTGCTAATTTTGCAATATTGTGGTTGACTATTCAAACACTTCCAAAATGCTCAATTGTATAACTGTAAAGGTGGTTTAGGTTGGGTCAGAGAGAGGGAGAGGCCATCAACTAAGCAATGTCCTCAGAACTCATGGGTTTCTGGGTTTTACTTGATGGGGTTTTTAGAATGAAAATCGGGGTCCCTTCCAGGAGCTTCAACTAGGAAGCCCTGTGGGGCCTCATGTTTGGGAGGGTCTCAAATTTAGACATTTTGAAGGAATTATTGAATGAGGCTATTTGATATGCTCATTTGTATTAGTATGTGTATTAAGGTATTATTTTGTTAAATAGAAGAATTTTAAATGTACTACAGTTTAGTAATCCTGTTTGGAATTAAGACAATTTTTTAAAAACACATCTGATCCTCCAAAAATTAGAAGTAACTCAACTTTTATGTATATCTGAGAGGACTCACCAAGGGGGACTTAGAAAATTATTAATCTTTACTTCTCTGTTTGCAATTGATTTGATGTGTGGCTTTTGAAGGGGGTAATATTTCAATTTTCTCTTCTTTTATTTCTTATTTGTTTTATTCTGTAAATTGAGATTAATTATTATGGAATCATGAAAAAAGAAACCTGTAGCATACCTAAGCTTTTGTCACTCCACAAGTAAGGCAAAGAGTATGATAGTGTAAGTATGTAAGTGCTTATCTTCATGATAACATGGAATTCTGCTATTTGAATAATTTAGGAAAATTTCTGTAACATTCCTTTGTGGGGTTTTTGGGTTTTTTTTTTTTTTTTTTTTTTTTTTTTTTTTTTTCTGTAAGAAAAAACAGAAATAAGATGAAGAATTTGGGATGCCAAACCTGATACATCAAAAATTCTTTTTAACACTACAGACCTAAAAACTACAAGGCTGAGAGTATCTTAGGTTAAAAGGAAGCAATCAAACTATTGCTTCTAATTAAAGTTTTGCGCGTGTCTTCTGTTTTTTTAGAAAGACTTGGTAGGGCAGATAGATAATTACTTAGTATAAAAAGCAGTTTGATTGATGTAAAGGTTGTCCATATTTGGAAACACAAATATTAGTTGAGAGATGAGAACTGACATGGTGAGTCTTAGGACTTGATCTACTTGATGAGATTGTGAGTTTATGAATCTAAAGAACTGAAAATGATAAAAGGTAATGCTTCTTGGAGAAGGAATGTAGTATAGCCAAGTTAACAAGAAAAAAAAGAAAGTAGACGACCTAAAACACAAAGTGGGAGGAAAGAAAAGTAATGAATACAGAAACAGAGCCAACACAAAATTGTGAGAAGTTAGGTAATTTGGTTCTTGGTCCTTGCTGTTTCTACCCATCTTCTTCCAATTTGGCTATAACCAAATTCTATTTCCAAGTATTATTTTGTCCCATGACTAAAATTAGATATTTGGGTACAGTCATTGTGAGAACAAGAGGTTATCTTTCCCAGCGTCATTGCAAAATGCCATGATCGTCTGCCTGAGAGGTTTATTTTTTAATTGTTGACTAATTTTAACTTGATCTAGCTGGAACTTTCTGGACAACTGGACATCACTGAAGGTGGAAATTTTAAATGGGATGATCAATGATTTTAAATATGGGTAAGAAAAGTTCTAATTCAATGCATAGGTATGATCTGAATCACTTTATTTTGAGCCAACAGTTTTGTACTTTCAGTAGGTAACAGTATTTTGGGGGGTATATTCTAGGACCTCTCTGTACTATTTGAAGATGATAGGCACAGACTGATTGAATGGTGCTGAAATAGATGAATTATCACCATATAGTCTCTTTCTCTATGTAAAGAAAAATGAAGATTTTATTGCTAGTTTCTTGCTTTTCATAAAGTTCATAGCACGTGTTATGAGCTAGTGAAAGTGATAAAAGAAATGGTAATACCAGAAAAAGACTCAAATTACCATTGACCCCCATTAAAATTCTATTCACCTATCTTTCCTTCTGCCATCATTCTCAGACAGGCAAGTATCACCAAACCCAAACTATCAGTCAGCCTTCTCTCTGTCATTGTCATCTTCACCTCCATCCCCACCCCATCATTCCTCCTGCATTCCTACTCTGCTGATTTTATTATTTTCTTTAGAAACTTTCAAAAGTTCCTCCTCATCACTAAAAATCCAAGTTCCCTAAGCTTACTCCCTTTTGCAGTGTGCACTATTCCATTCTAAGATCCTGTTTTGTTCCAGAAAGTCTCTGTTGCAGCCAGAATGATTCCCACTCTGGCCAGAATATGCTTTCATAGTATGTTTGCATTTTTCATCCAGGATGTCTTTTTCTTTCTTCTCTTCCTATTGGAATCTCATGTGCTTAGGGTCCATGGGCTCCCTGAAACCTTGGACTTCCCTGGAGACCTCCTCTTCTGGAGTCCTGGAGCTCATGGTATAGTTCTGTTGCCATTAATTATGCTATAGCCTGAGAAACCAAGTATCTTTTTATGTGGGCATATCTGAACCTCCACCAGCCACCCTTCCATAAACACAGACTAAGTCTCATATACCTACTCATGGTAGCACTTACTTGGATTTCTTATATGGAGGATTACTTAAAATGTTTATCATTTCATTCTAAGACTTGCTTCATTATTCACTACTAATGATTTTTCACTGTATTCTTTTTAAAAGTTTGTGCATATTCTGGTCCATTGCCTCTTTCTACAGTAATATGCAAACCAAACTGGAGCCTGACTGAACGTGTTCCACTTGCCATGTTTTAAAAACCAAAAAAAGTATAAATCTATTACCAAATATATATGAGATTACATTACAGTATGAGTTTAAGAAATATTCAGAACATCATGTTTAAGTCTGTATTTTCTTCATTTCTCGCCCTTTTGGCTAAGATTGAATATAATTCTGTGTTTATCTTATGAAAGGAAAATCACTTTGAGTTTTGTCAAGGCCAAATCATCATTTCTTCATTAATTTTGCTGTTTCTAAGCATATCAAATAGTCTGGGGAAAAGATAATCAAACAAAAACCTAGTCACTTAGTTATTTTAATTCACTTTTGCCAAATTAGTTTTCATATGTGTGAGAAAAGTTTTGTGATAAGAATTTTGTTACATATGGCTCGGCGCCTGTGGCTCAATCGGCTAAGGCGCCAGCCACATACACCTAAGGTGGCGGGTTTGAATCCCCAGCCCGGGCCCGCCAAACAACAATGATGGCTGCAACCAAAAAATGGCCAGGCGTTGTGGCGGGCGCCTGTGGTCCCAGCTACTTGGGAGGCTGAGGCAGGAGACTCGCTTGAGCCCAGAAGTTGGAGGTTGCTGTGAGCTGTGATGCCATGGCACTCTACCCAGGGGGACAGCTTGAGGCTCCGTCTCAAAAAAAAAAAAAAAAAAAAAAAAAAAGAATTTTGTTACATAAAATAGGTCCAAAAGATACACAAGACTCAATAGAAGTCCTCTACATATATCTTTGTTTTAATTCAATGTGGTAATTTACGATAATTTAGTATACGTCAAGATCAGAATTACAAGGAAACCAAAGCTAAAATTTTTAAGGGAGGTAAAACTTTAAATATTTATATGTTTTTCTCTGCCCTATTTTATATGAAGATATTATAATATTAACGCACATAGTAGAGTACGTTCATTCTTGTTCAGTTGACCCTCGATTACATAGAATTTTACCAGAACATAAATAACTGATTTTCTAACAATTATTGCAAGGTTTTGCTTGGTTAATCTTATACTCATCTGGTAACTTTGCAAACAGAAAGAAATCTTAAATTCAAAAGGTCGTAATTAAATGATAGACACAGTAGTCTGAAAAGGAATATTCTTTAGATTTGGCTGCAGTTAAAACTACTCCATTGTTATAATCATTTTTTCTCTAGACAGTAATAACTCTCATCTGATAAATAACAAAACTACGGGCAACCTCAAAAAATATAGAACAAGCTAAGAGATGAGTAAAGTAGATATACTATAGGAAAGCTATTAATTGTATACCAAATGAGCACATTTGGAAAGGAAAAGAGAAATGGGCAGCTAGACATCTTGTTAAATGTTTGATGTCTTGCATCAGCATAAGAACTTCTTATTTGAGGAACAGTGTTTAGTTGTTTTTTTCATAGAAACAGGAACTGGCACAGCTGTTGTACTCTTGCATTGCTTCTGACTGGTTATCAGGTTGTTCATTCACACTATAAATACTTAAAAGGAAAAAAACCTTTAATTCTGGATTGATTTCTAATCTGTTGTCTTACCTCCCTTTCACAATAATGTCTAGTTGATCCATTTTCATAACAGAATAATTATTTGCTAGTACATTTTAACTCTTCTTCTGATATGTAAAGACCTAAGTGGATTGTTTTGAAGGGGGAAAAATGTCCATTTAGAAATTGTTTGAAAACACCAAGCCGCCTTTTACTGACTCAGCACACTGCCTTTGGAGTGTTAGCCTAGCAGTGGCTGATAATGGCCTATGATTTTCAAATTCGCCACATCTTAAGTAACGTGGTACTATTTGGAAGTGTCTGTCATTCTGTAAAATTACCTCTGAAGAGGTCAATAGTCCAAAAGAAAATAATTCTTCCACTATGTAATCAATACTTTCTATAATTCTGATTATAACATTACATTAGGCAGTCTGACTCCCTAACTATAAATATTAGATTGTTTTACTTTGACTTTAGTTCAGAAATCTTTTGAAAAAAAGTTTTAACATTTTGGGATTTATCAGCCAACGAACCTACACAATCTTGACACAGAATGACACCACCCAAGGTAAAACTTTCAGTGAATGTTTTATTGTATGAAAGCCAAAATTCTAAAAGCAAATAGTAATTTGTGTAACCAATGTTGAATCCAAATGTACAACAGTAAACTGATTTGGTGTCTCTTTTTTTTTAAAGAGCTGACGCAAGTTGGAGAGAGGGAGGTGTTGGGGGCAAGGTGGTGGTGTTGATTGGCTTGCCTTGTTCACTCCCACTGGTCTTTAAATCATTGTCTAGATCCCCAAAGGTTCACATAAGTCAACGCTGTTACAGGGGACTGCCATTCCCAATAATTCAAGGAAGACTGCACAGGACTGGATAAATAATTAAGGTACAGCTGTTTTTACATGAATATTTGCAGTGTAAAATAATGCTTACTTTTTCTTTTTATTGTATCAATCGTTTATTCATTACAAATTAAAATGTTTGAAAATGCAAATAGGGTAAAAAAGATCTTTTTTAGAAAAGGTCAACTCAATATAATGTCAAATATTAAAATTATTTACTCAGATCCTGATCACAATTTACATTTGAAGTGAATTTTAGATCTGAGCATAAAATTAGAATAATGGATAATAGAAAAAAAAGGGGCAGGTAACAAGTGTTTAGTTACTTATATCTTCTGGTTGATCATTGAATATAACAAAGAGATGACTAATTTGTCTTAGGAAAAAACAGAAAAGTTTAGAAGTACATTCTCAATATTAGGCCTTTAAGTTGCCTGTTTTAATGAATGAAGGAGTATATTTAGAGCTAAATTACTAGGAGAAACCTGGAAATTGAATAGAATAGATTTTGAAAGAATCAATTATCTGAAAGTAGAGCCATTCTCCTCAAATTTATTAACATACAGGGGGAGAATTCCCAGTGGATTTAAGTAACCCTGCATCTTGAGCATATGGTGATAGTTTTAAATGCCCAGGCTGTAGCAAAGTGTTCTTGTATAATACACTATATATGTTTTGTATAAAAGTATAAAACACCAAGAGTGTTTTGTAACTGCATAGAAGACTATTTCAACTGATGATCTAGGTCATATTCATGAACATTAGCCAAAATAATATTTTATTTTTGACAAACAAAAACAATTTAGGTGTGCTTTCTAGAAAAGATTGACATTTAAGATCCTTCAGTTCAGTTTTCTATATCTGGAATATAATTATATTCCTAGCTCTGGGATTTGCTTGAAAAGTAGTTACATTTATATCCCTAATAGTACATTAGCAACATCTAAGTTCTCAAAAATATAGTTTTAGTGGTTGAACTCTTGAGTTTTCTTATACGTATTATACGATATGTTTTAAGGGTTATTGAAGCTATTTAACACATGAGTTATTTTAAAGAAAATAAAAATAATTTATTTTATTAGACTATTCCTGTACAGTAGTCTATTACAAAGAATGTAGACATTTAGGAATATATTGCATCCATAATTCTTGACAGATTATTAAGTATCATGCCTTAAAACATGTAGCATAAAGAGTTCACTATGGGCTGGGTGCTGTGGCTTATGCCTATGATTCTAGTACTTTGGGAGGCCCAGGTGGGAAGATCCCTTGAGATTAAGAAGGAGTCCAAGACTGGCCTGAGCAACATGGTGAGACCTTGTCTCAACAGAAAATAGGAAAATTAACTAGGCATGGTGGTATGCACAGGTAGTCCCAGCTACTCAGGATGAGTCAGTAAGGTCACTTGAGCCCAGGAGTTTGAGTTTGCTGTGAGCTATGTTTGCATGATTGGGCCACTACAGTCCAGCCTAGGCAACAGAGTGAGACACAAAAAAAAAAAAAAAAGAAAGTTAACTATATTAATATCATGTATACTATATATCTCTGTACATTCTGGAAACTACTGTTTAGGAAAATATTAAGTAAAATTTGTGTAGGAATTTATATTTAAGATGACTAGAAAGACTATCCTCTTAAAAGAGAGCTAGGAAGTCTGTAAGCAAAATAGCATATTCACATTTTATGAATAATTCTTTATACCTCATCAAATGGCTGCTTTTTTAGTTCTTACGCTAGCAAGCATGTAATACTTGTAGCAAAGGGAAAAGACCTTAGGATAAGGTTATTTATTTTAACTTCCTAGCTCTTCCTAGATAGTATTTCTAAACTATATCTGAGTAGAGCAAAGGAATAGAAATGTTAAAATAGTACTAGCAATGGGAAGGGAAATAGATAAGTCAGTATGGTCTGTTGTTACTGGCAGTTGCTTTTCTAGCTTTTATGGAAGCTAATTTCTTTGAGAAATCATGCCGTAGATTAATAAGAAATCTCACTGTCATCGTTGGGGAAATTAAGAGAATTTAATATATAGTAATTTTAGATTGATTTTCACTGTCAAAGCTATATTCATGTATCTGCCGTACATGCTCAATAGAGATTTAAATCACTTCCTCGGGTACAAGATAATTTAGCTTTTAGCAGGTGTATGACCAGCTACGACTCACTTGCTCAACCAAAGGGTAAATGACATGTGGGGCTATCTGTTACTGAAACCTAGATTTCAGAGTAATTTCATCAGTACTGGCAAACCATGAAAGACAGACACATAGGGATGATGGGAAATCTGTTCTGACACCATTAGCTTCCTTGTCACTTTCACTTATCAGGTAAAATAAATGTTTGCAGTAACTAGGGAAGGTCAGAACTTCTGCTTCTTGACCCCAGAGGTAGTTTTGCTTTCCAAATTTGATGCCTTTCTTTGAAGTTGAACCACATAAGTAAAAATTGAGAAATTTGCTCTTCTGAGAATCTTTCATTCTGAGCTTCTGAGTTACCTATTTGAAGAATAAGAATTAGAATGTTTACTAACTAGAGTGTAGATAGGAAGATCAGCTACTTAGAACATTTCTGTCTCTTTTAGTAAATGTGATGGAACTGGAATTCTTCCCTTGTGATAGTGTTATAAATTCTTTTGTTTCCAGTTTTGATTTTATATCTTTATAGATGAATACATTGAATTAACAATGCAGTTGATTACTGCACTGGAATATCTAGTCTGCTTTTGCAAGATCTTCTGTCACAGAGAAACCTAACTTCAATGGAGAGAAAGACTAGACAACAGAACATTCTATCCAACCAAATTTGGTTTTTATTTTAGAAGCATCTTGAACATTATTTGTCCAACAAAGCTGTCCTTTCTTCTGGTATCTAGAGGAGAATATTTCCATTTCATTTTTAATTATTAGCCTAGAAAACCATAAGAGGAATGGATACCTGAATCTATAAAGATGATGAGATCAACTTGTGTTGGTCCCACTAGAGTATAATACCAGGCACCGTGCCAGATGCTAGATATATGTAGAGTCTACAAAGGCAGGACTGTTCCCATCTACACAAAGCCTCCTGTCTAGCTGGGGGACAGGTGACAGTTATTTATCAATTAATCACACAACTAAACATTAACCACAAAATATGGTGAGTACTATGCAGGAACAAGAGCATACTTCAAGAGCACATGGTGGGAGCGTCTAGCTCAGATGTGGAGGCAGGGACGGTCCCTCTGACCACATGACCCCTAAAGACTTTACAGGTTGTTTTAGTTAACAGTGAGAGATACCTGAGTTAAGACTGTGGGGAAGAGCATTTCAAGCAGAGGGAGCAGCACATTAAAAGGTCTTGATGTGGCAATGGGGAAATGAAAGAAGCCGGGAGTTACTTGGTGAGTGATGGGGTGTGATTCAGTATGGGACTAAAGATCTATGTCTGGGTTAAAGTAGAGAGCACTTATAGCAGATTGTGAGAGTTGACTTTAGTCTAAAAAGGGATGGGAAAATCATGGTAGGGCCTTTAGTAGGGTAGTCATTTAGAATAACCTAATGGTCATGGATAGAAGTGATGAATTTTAAACAGATGTGGAAAGAAGGACTGATAGGTCTTGGGGACAGATTGGATGTGAGTAGGGGATGAAGGACAGAGAATGGGAGATGTCAAGGCTGACAGCCAGTCTCCTCCCATGAGCAATTGGGTGGATGGAGGTACCATGTCCCAAGAGGGCAAGAGGCATAAGAATCTACACTTATTAAAATTATATTTTTCAACTGTGTTTGCCAGTATCATTCTTTTCTACACTACCCATGCAGAGATTCACCGACTAGTTCAGTAAGTATTTTCATAGGCAAAAAAGCCAAGTTCCTCTGGGGCAGGGATCCTGTCTTATCCGTTCTCTGTGTCTTTTATAGTTTTTGGCTTATGTGTTATTCTCAATATTTATTGAGTAAATAAATAAATGCCATCTGTGAAACACTTCCACATTGAAATATAATCATGTGATTAAATTTGAGCAAGTATGAGATAGTCTAAAGGCTTCCAGTTACTTACTTTGTGCTGCAGGCAAATGATTTACAATATTTAGTTTTTCATAATGTTCTAATTCTTTTAAAATTGTGCATTTAGCCTTTATCCCATTGAAATAGATCAGTAACCAAATCTCCAAAGCTGAAGATACGAGCTATGAAAATATATGCCAACTTTTATGAGATTTCCCTTCATCAAGGCCAAAATGGAATATTTTTATATGCGGTAAAAATAGTATTAAATAAGGTCTTAATTTCCTCATTTGTGAAGGGCATCAACTTCGCTTATAATTTTTGTGAGAGTATTGAAAACTGTAAAGTCCTCTTTTATAAGTGTGTAAGGTAAATTATGCATATGAAATTTTACGTATGTTTGTATACGGATAAAGACATTATTAGATTCTGATTATTAGAAGAAGGGAAAAGGATTTAAATTTATTAAGGGCCTACTATTTGCCAAAACTTAGACACTCATTGTGTCTAAGTTTTGGCAGATGGTAGGAATTCCAGTTCCAACTTACTCAGAAGTTAATTTGACTAAGATTTACAGCCAGGTTTGTTTCTTGCCCAAACCAGAGTTCCTGTTTCCTGCATATCTTTCAGTGGTAGAGATAGCAATTCAGAGGCAGCTTGGCAGGGAAGCCACTTCACCTGCTCTTCCATACATCTGTAAAATGGGAATATACTCACACAGCTGGGTGTGGTGGCTCACGCCTGTAATCTTAGCACTCTGGGAGGCTGAGGTGGGTGGATTGCCTGAGCTTAGGAGTTCAAGACCAGGCTGAGCAAGAGTGACACCCCATATCTACCCCAAATAGAAAAACTAGCCTGGCATTATGGCAGGGTCCTGTAGTCCCAGCTACTCAGGAGGCTGAGCCAAGAGGATCACTTCAGTCCAAGAGTTTGACATTGCTGTGAGCTATGATGCCACCAGCACTCTACCCAAGGTGATAGAGTGAGACTCTGTCAAAAAAAAAAAAAAATTAGTGCTCACCTCAGTGGGCTGCTCTGAAGAGTATGAGTACGTGTAA